CAGATGACTAGACGTGAAAGCTTTTTCAACGACTTCTACCATAACGACGTATTCCTGCTGTTAGATACTTAACAGAGCTGTAAACAATCTACAGCACCAATCGAATCGATTTAATTTAATTGCGTCAAAGACGCCTCAGAGGACATAGGCTTCAAACAAAGCCTGGTTAAACCGTGGTAAGTAATGCTTCCCTAGCACAACCTATTACAGAATAAGTATCCATGAAATGTCATCTGTCCAAGTCTCTGTCTTATTTATGAAGCTTCTTCATCTTATCATCTCTTACCAATGCGATCCGCAATAAATCAATCTAATGAGCTAATCAGACTGAAAGTCCGAGGACTCCTTAAATTTTTCATCTCCTCGTTTCTTTAATTACCGAGAGCGATGGAGTGGACGTTGCTTAGAGCCACCTGTCTTTGCTCTACTGCATCTGTTTCTGGCTAGTAGACTGTCCTAGATTTGTGGACTAGTCTAAGTGTAATAGCTTTGTTTTTGCTTCAGCAGGAATTAGGAAGATTTTCAACGTATCATAAACCCCAATCACCCTATTTTCTATAACGAATAGTAGAACCGAAATACTATATTAACGCCCAATGATGTGGACTATAACATTGTCATTTAAGCGTCCCTTCACCTTTTAAAATTCCCATGCAAACGAACACATTAACAAACACAGACATTTTTTTCGGATAGAGTCGGCGAGCTCGCGAATAGTCAGAAGGAGTCCGCTGGCAATGGGACCAAGCACTCTGATTAGATAACACTGAAACCTTGAATAATTATCCAATCGTTGATATCGATGCTAAACTTGCACCATATTGGTTTCATCTGTGAGAATCTTTTTTCTAGAGATGTTGCAGTTTCACCAGTTGTAATGTAAAGTTGGTCTGTTAGAACTAGTGACATGGATGCCCATTTCGAGCTTACGGTTGTACATTTAACTATGCTGTCTTTTTTGGTCTCGCTACTGAAGTTCGAAACCAAAGCAGTTACATTAGGTAGCATAAAGCAGGAGCAGAGCGAATGGACGTTTATGACAGTGTTAAAGTTACCTCTGAATAACCTTGATTTTAACGGTTTTCAATGAATTTTTAGTAAACCTATGGTTAGGCTGCGCAGGTTCCCATATCCAAGGTACTGTATGAAGGACTTTCGGCGAGAAAAAAACTGTCCTTCATATCCACGTGTGAATGACAGACAGTGAACTCGCGGTATGCATAGTAACGCTGGTGGAGTCGTTTCCGTCACAAGAAGCTTATGACCTTGGTGTATGATAAGCATTTTCCCACATGAATTGAAAAAAAATCAAAAACGTT